GAGACGATGAAGATGTTTAATTCGAGAGACCTTTGGCTGGATTCAATAGTAAAAGTTGTCTCATCTAAAATATGACCAAATTTCCATTGCAGAGCATCGTGCAATCGAGTTCCCGCAACGCCTCAACGACAAAAGCAAAGAAAGCCTCCGTAAAGCAGTACATTTGCATAACCATGCGGGCAGACGAATATATAAGACAAGTTGTCCACCACGCCGGTAGGTAGGTTGCAGCTCCAGCGGACACACAGACATAAAATATTTCACATTCGCTTGCCTGCTTCACGAGGTCGCGGGGTCTCTGGTTGTCAACTCGTTTTGCTAAATGAGCCCGAGAACGAGAGTCGAGACTAAATGGAGATTATACGTCCTGACAAATCGAGTCTCGTAATGCCCAGACGAGGCTGGATACTTGGTGTAGCCTGTCGGGCAGAAGAGAGAGGCTGATTAATTGCCAGGGCCCGTCACTTTGGGTGTAAAGAAGAGGTGAAAAAAAGGAAATTGTCTGCTCGCGCAACATTGAAGGCGAATGAAGGGGGACAAGAGATGAGAGAATATCTGTCCATCGGTAACTTAGTGATCATATTTCAGTTTCCATTTCAATTTTGCCCATATCCAGGCATTAGACTTCTTGCACCGGTCAGTGATTTATGCCAACTCTGAACCTTAAAGGCATGTGTCCTCCTCCCAAAACGACTAATCGTCTTCCTCTGTCAAGTGCCGAAGCCCACCCAAGGCCTCGGCTTGTCGACCCAAAACCGGTCGGACTGGTCCGGCCCGACGAGACAAGTTCCAGACTAGACAGGCCCCAGGATCCGGGAAAAACGGGCAGGGAAAGCCGGACACTCGCATAAGAAAGGCAGAAGAGCTGGGCCTCGATCGGCCGATTGACGCATGACGAGGCTCTGAGCAAACGGAGCCATCCAGTTCGGCCGCCATTTATTTGTCTCCGACTGTCTAGCCCATCTGCCTGGTTGCAGGACATGACTGCGGCATCAAACTCTATCTCATTCCTGTCCTCTTAATCCTTTGGAGCATCTGCCATAGTTTAGGCGAGTCCGGCTAAAACCGATAACTTGAAGTCCTACCTAAGTCAGGTGGCCAAGAGCTGTTTCCACCCTGGTTTGCACAAGGTGATGGAGTACTGGTAGATGCATTTTCCCACAATCATGTGAGTATGCCTTACATGACGATTGGAATTATCATGGCCTCGCGTTCACAAGGTGTTCTTATCCCTTCTGTACTGTACTGCCGTTTCAACCATGCCTGGGTAGCGTCAGCATCCCCGGTGGGACTCGAACCCGTGCACAGTAGCGTACAATCTTGACAATGTGTTCAATTACGGCTTTGCGGGATGAGAATACCTTTTTGGAACGGTTCTTCAATAATAGTCCTTCATCACCTTTAACGAAAGAGGGTGAAAACACCTCATATAGGGTACAAGACTTGTATCCACCCCAGGATGTCTAAGGTGATGAAGGAATATTTGTTGAATTTTCCCAAAAGGTATTATCATCCCGGACTGGGCCCAATCGCAAATGCGACCTCGCATGGAGCTCGCTAACCCGCAAAGCCGAGATTGTACGTTACATGCACGGGTTCGAGTCCCGCCGAGGATGCTGATGAGAACCAGGCAAGGTTGAATCTGGAATATAGTACAAAAAAGAGAAGAATACCTTTTTGACGGTGAGGCCAAGGGAATTCCAGTTGCCTCTATCAGTACTCGATCACCTTGTGCAACCCACTTGCATGAATAAGGTACAATTTGGCCACCTAACTTAGGTGGAAAGATGGTATCTTATTCGCCAGACTCGATGCCATGCAAGAGTAAGGCGTCCCTTCGGCCAAAGTGTCTGCCCAATCTGAATCGGGTGGAAGACTCATCACATGTCGACTAAAGTGGCCCATCTACCCAATATCGTCTCGTCTTGACCCAATAGATGCACTGCCACGGGACTCGAGCCAGGGCGGCATGTGTCCAGAGACCGGTGGTGTCAACTAATGTGGGCATATGGTTCGATTTAGATCCGATCTCCCAAAAACCATCCCTCGCTGGCCTGCCTTTGGCCAAAATGTCCTATTTGAGTCAAGAGACGGAGAGAGGCTGTGTGGTGCCTGTAATTCGGGGCAGTGGGCATGGCAGAAGTGATACCAAACAGCTCTTGTGCTGCCGCCTCTCCTGATTGACAACGCCCCGGGGACAGACAGTTGCGTCCTCATTTCGTCACTTCTCCATCTCTGGCATTGGTAGGTCCAAACTCTGTCTGGTCAGGAACCCTTTGCATCAATTTGTCGATAAATCTATCGTTGGCCGCCCAACCCATCCAGGGCTGGGTTGAATGAAGATAGGCGGTAGAGGCGAGGAGTGCAAGTAGAAATGTGGGTTTTAGGGAAAACGGTGAAAAAAAGGGAGATATTCGGAGAATAAGAAAGCGAAGAAGGGGCAGTTAGAGGATGGGAAAATGGGCATGGCTTGACGTGAGAGTTCTGGTCTGTAGGGCAGGCGCTCGCCTGTCGGCCGCAGTAAACGCAGGGAGCCTTGGCAGGTCAAGGCAACCAGACCTTGGCCCAATTACCTGACGTCATTTCATCATAGTGACAGCCTATCAGAGAGGTCGGCGCAATGGAATCCCTACTTTCTGTAGCCGAAACACTTCTCCCACTGGGCGGACGCACACGCACATCTCAGCCTCTGTGTCCGAGACTAGCGGTTTGGGAACATTTTCTCTCTACCGAGGCCATATTGCCTATTTGTGCCATCGGAGCCTTGTCGGAATGACAAGATGTCAAACCTCGGCGGCCTGGTGACTGAAGCCGAGGGGACGAGAGCGGCACGAATGAATCGCCTTTTCGGGCTCACTTTTGACGGCGGAACAAGAAACTACGCCCAAGATATCGCAGGCCTAAGATGAATTTTGGGGCTGTCGCTTACATCGGCCCAGATGGATTGCGACAGATAAGATTCTGCAGTTTACCTGGAAATGTATATATATATATATATATGTGTGTGTGTGTGTGTGTGTAGACAAAAAGATAGGGAGAAAGAAAGTGGAAGAGACCATTCGAGAAAAAGAAAGGGGAAGATGAAATGAAATTTGTTTTCCTGTCTGTCGACAGGTAGATTTCCATGCGTACATTCTGAACCAATGAAACCTACGTTGATCGAAGTGGTTGGGAGGTAAAGTGGTAGAAGCTATCATGTTTGTGTTTATAATAACGTCTCTACGTAGTACTGGTTACAACTCAACCGGGGCC